ATTGGAATATATTTTTATATTATATATTGAATTTTTTACGTTCTTTGTATAGTGACGAATGATTGCGTTAATTGTAAAACTAATATCTTTTTTATTTTTACTGGACTATAATAAATAGGCGCCTGTAGTAAGTCCCTTGTGCACAAAATATAATAAACAAATTTGTATTCTTGGAAAAGCACGCACATTTATTTAAAAAATATTCAATGTGCATAATATAAACGCAATAAACACTATCTACGTGCTACTGCAACTAACTTTTAATATCAATGATACGGGTGTAATACCACCTACTGTGATATTAAATAAATGTGCAAAATACACACTTTTATGTTAATATGACATACTCACTTTTCATCTTAAGTAATATATCAAACTACGTACGTTGCAATAATTGCAGCAGCAATTCAATAATACAACAATTTTTGTCAATTACGGGAATTGTTTGATAATACATCGCATAATAAAAAAAGCAAGGTTTTTTCGACAATAAATGTTATTTTTCAATAAAAAATACTATATAGCAATTCATTTATTCTAACCATATTACAAATTGGCAATGCCTTCATTGTCAGTCGATGAATCTAAGTCCTGTAAATAGGTATTTGCAGTAGCGATTACTTCATACATACACAAAAACACGTAATTGAAGAATTTTAGACATTGTAATCGGAGTCTTGTGGGCGGGTCTATTATTCTGATCAGACACTTTCCCCCTTACCAAACGAGACAGTTTTTCTTTGTTCTGTATGTATTACACTACGAAAAGGGGAAAAAGCTAATATCTAGGAAAAAAAACCGTTAACAAATTACTAGAAAGATTTGAATCCCCTATCGTAAGCCACTATTAATTATTTTTTAATTCTCTCATCCCATAATTTTATTAACACCTATCATCAGAGCGACCTGACATCCCCCTGAGTCCGGAACAATTTGAATGGAGGTACAACATGATAAACATAATAATAAACACAGAGGAAATAACGAAAGGAAGAAAATTTAATATATATGAGACCATGATTAAAACTACTCTTCTTTATGGCGCTGAAACATGGAGAATTAGTGAAAAGAACAAAAAGCGAATAGAAGCAGTAGAGATGGATGCAATGAGAAGATCTTTAGGTATTGGTATGAGAAGCAGATAATTGTAATCAATATTTAGCTCGAAATATCTTCTTCCGAAAAAGCTGCTTCTCAATCTAAAAATTGTCGTCAGTCGAAATTATAGAAAAAGTATTGGAAAACCTTATGTGCCAGTATGTATATGGATACCTCCAAAGTAAATACCGTTCTAAACAAATTGTAGTTTTGATTGTGATAGATCAAACTTTTTTTAAATATAAATATAAAAATGCTAATTCTTGTTTTCTAATATACAATGAATACGTGTCCCTGTTAGAAGCTAAAATATTTCTGACTGATGGGGAACTAGAAACCAACTAGCACTATACAACTCACAATGAAGTTAACGTTGGCAAAACGCTGAGCTACTCATCCGACTTTAATGCTTTTTATGGTCTTATTAAACATAGTTTTATACTAATGCCACTCTAAGTGGTGGATAGTAGTTCAGCGGCTAGGTATCGGGTTTCGTTAGGGTTTGATCCCGGCACAGACACTAGAAATTTTTTAATTGGCGCTTTGACTATAAGTATATTTCTCTTTAACGTACTATAGTAGAAGCCACAGTTAGAATGCAGTGCAGGTAAGATAGGCAATGTATTTCATATCGGAGAACGGCTGACCACGTTGTCGGTTTGCAACGAGCGGTGTATCAGGGCGGGATTTAAGAATCATAGCACTAGATTACACGCGCGCACAACAATTGCCTTCTTCTTCTTCTTCTTCTTCAGTGTCTTATCCGGTCCGGATGTTGGCGATCATCAAGGCTATCTTGGTTTTGTTGACTGCTCTGGAAACGCGGAGGTTATCCCAAACCATTGTCGGAGGTTTTTTAACCACGAGATACGACATTGTCCCGGTCCTTTCCTGCCCAGTCCTCTCAATTAACAATTGCCTACGGTTGTATAAAAGACTATCATTATTGTTTCAACTAAAGCATGATTCAATCATCGATGTATAAGTAAGAGGGTTACATTATTGAACTAAACAATACCATGAAGAAAAATACTATAAAAAAGTAAAATATATCAAAAACTCATTGTCCATAGCTTGTCTATATTTATCAATTTTCAATAGTTTCTATTGTAGACATATTCTTTGGTAATTAACGATCATAATAAAGTCATTAGGGGAAGCAAATCAGTTTTAATCCTCATTCTCCATGCAAAGCAAACATGCCTCTCTGTCGATTTGGGTACTGGCCATTAGACCAAAAATTTGTTGGCAAAAACTATGAAAGCTCAGTTCTATTTCATTTTCGCAAGCGGATGGAAGTACCTACATCATGGAGCCGTTGCCAGTATCTATCGTGAAAGATTACTTAAAAAGTGAATTACTGGATACTGCGGTCGCATTTAGAGACGAGTACGACAAGTATAAAACAATTGCGGAAAAATATTGCGTTAAGATTTTGAGACTGCCGCCTAACCATTGCGAGCTGAACCCGATTGAGATGGTGTGAAGTCAATAGGAAAGGTATGTGGCTTCAAACAACGTCGATTTTAAAGAAAAAACGGTAGAATGGTTGATAAAAGAACAGTGGCATAATTATGTGAAACACATCAAGAAAGTATAACAAAAAATGTTTGCGGTGAACAATTTGCAGGACGATATTGAACCGGTGATAATGAATATAGGAGATGATTCAGAGAATCAGGACGATTTAGATTTGGATTGCGATTAGTATTAATAAAAGAGAAATATCTCAGATTTATTGCTCATTTGTTTTTTAGTACTGTAGTACATTTTAGTTATGATTTTCTTGTGTAGTTTATGTATATATATATATATATATATATATATATATATATATATATATATATATAGTATAGGGCAGGGCTTCTTAAACTTTTTAATATAGCGACCCCCTTCAAGCTTAGGAATTTTTAAACGACCCCCTCCTCCATATAATGAAATATAAAATAGGATTAAAGAATACGTACTTATTCATTTCACTCTAAATAACGATGTAGTTGATTTTCCATACCATTGCCTTAGATTTTTTAGCCATGATGTTCTTCGTCTACCAGGACCACGATTACCTTGGATCTTTCCCTGAATAATCAGATGTAAAAGATCATATTTTTCAGGGTGTCTCATAATGTGACCGAAGTATTCCAGCTTGTGTTTCTTTATTATATTGACCAGTTGTGTTGTTTGGCTCAGCCGTCTAAGGACCTCCTCATTTCTAACTCTGTCGACCCAGCTTATTTTCAGTAGTCGTCTGTATACCCACATCTCAAAGGCTGTCAAGTGTTTAAGCATAGCCTCAGTTAGAGTCCACGCTTCCACTCCATACAGCAGGACAGGAAAGATGTAGCAAGATGTCATACGAACTCTAAGGTCAATGCTAAGATCGTGACTGCAAAGTACGTTTCTCATTTTTACAAAGGCAGCTAGGGCTTGTTCTATTCGGCTTTTAATTTCTGCGGTTGTATTCCAGCTCTCATTGATATTACTGCCGAGATACACGAGTTTCTCTACTCTGTCCAGTGTGGCATCTCCGACTTTTATACCGTCATCCTGTAAATAAATTTGTTTGCTAACTATCATATATTTAGTTTTCTTAACGTTGAGTTTTAATCCATACTGATCACAAGTCTGTTTTATTTTGTTCATTAGATTTTGAAGGTCTTCTCCGCAATTGGCAAGGACTAAGGTATCGTCGGCATATCTAATATTGTTGACGGTTACTCCATTCACAATAATACCTTCGGTTGTCTCCATTAAGGCTTCCTTAAATATTTCCTCCGAATATAAGCTAAAAAGTAAAGGCGACAATATACAGGCTTGTCTCACTCCTCTTTTTATATTTATTTCATCCGACAGTTCTTGTTCAGCCTTTATTCTTGCCACTTGATGCCAGTATAGATCTGTAATTATTTGTAGATCTTTATCGTCCAATCCAGCTGTTTCCAATATTTCTAGCATTTTGTTATGTCGGACTTTGTCAAAAGTTTTTTCAAAATCGATTGCACAAATGTACAGATTTTGTGAAAAGACAGCAAATATTTGATTTCACGCAAAAAGCGCCTTTGTATCTGTTGCGTCAAACGTGAAATCAACGTGAAAAATCAACGTCAGATCAACGTGAAAGAACAATATTTTCTGTCTTTTAAGAAGCAACACTAAAATGGCTTCAATACTGTATTAGCACCTGTATACTAAACAAGGCTTTTCTTGTACCCAAGCCACTCCTAAACCCAAATTGAGTATTGCTAATTCTGTCCTCTAACAGCGTGTAAATTCTGCTGTGTATTACTCGCAGGAAGATCTTCAAAACGTGACTCATCAGACTTATTGTCCGATAATCACCGCATGTCTTTGGACGATGTTTCTTAGGTATTGTGACAAATGTCGACTTTAACCAATCAGTTGGTAATATCCCAGTGTCATAAATTCTGTTAAAGAGATTACATAGAGCTTTAATTCCATTTACTCCCAAAAACTTTAGTATTTCAGCACTTACTTCATCGGGGCCAAGTGCTTTTCCATTTTTTGCCGTTTGTATTGAACGTGCAACCTCACTTTCTGTTATAGATGGACCTGATATAGCAATCGGTGTATTATGTATACAGGCATTTTTTATAGAATTAATTTGTTTATTCTATATGTTTATAGGAAGCGTTAACTATGTTTCTAATATGTTTTGGAATCTGGATCTTTGAAATCCTTAATTGCTGCAGTAAAATTGTTAAAATTGCCCTAGATTTATCTTTCATTAGTTAACAGCGGATTACACGTATAAATAAAAATACTCATTTTTGATAAATAATCGTATTTGAAACGTATACCTTAAATATACTTATCTTTTTTTATTCACAATTTTTGTCGCATTTATAACGTTCGGAGATTTAAAATGAAACTTTTTATTTCAGATCACCTAGACCATGAATTCCAAAATTCTTTTTGTATTAATTATAGCACACATAGGATTGATAAATGCGATATCTCCTTGCTGCAATGGTCCGAATCAGCTGGGACCAAGGCACAATTGCTCCGATGGAATAGAAATGAAGAAACTTAATTGCGAAGACAGTTACATTTTACGTGTCAGTGATCCAAGTATCAAGTTTAGCCATGATTATAAGGGTAATTTGATTTTAGATGACAAAGATGTTGTTCCTGTCGGAGAGTAAGTTATTAGAATTGTACTATATAATTTATTATTAGCGTAAAAGTGTACAAATCAATAGTTTGGTAAATTAAAAAAAAATGTGAATATTTTTCTAGAAATTGGTTCATATCTACAGTGTGTCCACGAAGAAACTTTTTTATTTTATCGAAAAATGTCATTCTTGATAAAAAATTTTATTTGTTCTAAAACACCAAAAAAACCGCTTCATTTTATGGTCAATTTTATGAAAATCCCTATAATTTTTTACAGTAAGTTCGGAAATAAATTTTCTTTTGCTGCAGTTTCGGCTCACTAAGGACTACAAAGAGTTTTTTATCTTTCTCATAACTGAATTTTCCTCCTCTGCTAGTTTTTATCTTAATTGAATGTTACTCTTTCCTTTCTGACCACTTGCTAGCGGGGCGAGGAGCTGGGATAGTGAGAGGGATAACTTCTTAGTAGATTTTACCTTATCCCTGAGTCCTTGAGTATCTTGGAGGTCACAAGGTAGAATTTACTCTTGTAAATATTTTTTAACCTGTCTTGCCTATTTTTATTAGTGCACTTTTTTTAATATGTGATTCTTTTATTATAAATTACACAATAAGACGCTACAATTATATTTTAGATACTGCCGTACTATGTTAATGTCAAAGAAAACCGAAGTTTACATAGTGTGTGCAACAGATGTTGACGATGATGTGGATACTACAACAAGAACCGTTACTACCATATTCGAGCTTATTTCTATATTTTTCATTCTGCTAACGGTTGTGATATATTTATTAGTTCTCGATTCACTGCATATACAGGTAGGTGTACTTTTTTCTTAAGGACAATTGATACTTACTCGAATACAAAAGTGCAACAGAGGATACACAGGTAGAAAATAAGGCAGTATCCAAGGACAAAGATAGCGAAACGAATACGAGGATATGGAATTTAGGTAAAAATAAAGAAAACATTAATGCTTAAAAAACAAGAAATGTCCACTAACAAAAACTAAAAAGAAGAAATTATAGCATAGCAAATAGAAGATCTCGAAAATAAGGTACCCCATTCATATATTGATGGCTGTGTCGAAATTGATCATATAGCTTTCGACGGTCTTCTTTTTATTTTGTTCGATCTGAATTTGAAAAAATACATTCAGACATATTACTTTTGGAATTTAGATTGCAAAGGGGTGGCTTGACTTTTCCAAACTTCGACTTAAAGAATGTTTTGTGTATATCCTACATCTACTATTTACATCTCCAATGAACCACAATTTCTACTGAAAATACATTTATTTGACCTTTCGATTTCCACTTCAGAAATAGGTCTTTATTATATCATTCTATACAGTTTAAATATCATTCGAAATGGTTAATTTTTATTAAAGATATAAATGATATTAAATGCCACAAGAATACATCTGAGCTACGTTTGTTATCTGACCAGTTTCTGAAAAAATCTGTCCCAGATAGTTAATAACATTGGTTTCTAACTACAGACAATATGTTCGACCATTTCCTCTGCATTTGCGAAGATACTGTATACTGCTCTGTCTACTGTGTTAATTTCATAGATATATCTGAGTGAGCAGTATTCACACTACATCTGTGATTACTTTTGGTTTAGTTTTCTGAAGCTATGTAAATTTTTGCGTACTGAGCAGAAGACTGAGTAACATTTTCGTTTGCCTTTGACCTTACATATTTGTCTAGTAGGCTGCACTAACTTCCTTTCCACAATTTCAGATATCTGACACGAAGCGGCTTTATGGGATACCCCCAAATGATTCTGAGCAAAACTATTAGGAATCTGGTTACCAGTAACTTCTTTATGACCGATACCCATAACAAAGTTATTTTGTTGTGCTACGGCAGTTGCTGAATGGACTATTTGTTGTGTCAAGCTGATATAGACTCACACGTTGTAGACTTTAGAGTCCTTCTTGAGATAATCTTGAGAACAAAGATCTATTGTTAGTAATTCCGCATGAAATATTGTAGGAGAATTTACAAGTGCTATTGATAGTCTGCGTTTACTAGACAATTATCCTCGATTTCTATTCCTTCATGCGTTTTTAACCCCTATAATATACAAAGTGGGTATTTTGCTCTTTTAATTGAAACCTACTAGTTGACACAATATCAATGGTATGTTGTTTGCAGAATACTTCACTGCCTACTTATTGTTTTTCTTCTTGTTCAATATTTTTAATAGACAAAATGTCTGTTCTATTCTTCGGTCTGTTCCAAACAATCACATCAGCGTTTCTTAGATCTCCCAATGATTCTTTGTTCTGTTGGCGATTTGTCTAGAGCTTTCCTTCTTATTTTGATTTGCTCCCTTCTATCATATGTTTATTCTGTTCTATTTTTTGTTGTACTATTTTATTAACCGGATTTATTTTGCATTGCCTTCTAATATTTTCACTTCTTTTCCTTTTTAAAATACAAACATTAGTAAATTATTAATCAATTTACTAATGTTTGTATTTTGAGAACGATTTCCGAAGTGGAAATGGAAACGTCAATAAACGTACTTTAACCTTTAATTGTGGCTTATTCCCATTTAAATAGTAATTACTTTAAAATGCCACAAGAAAATAGCTTCAGAACAATATTAGGATACTAAAATAATTATGCACTTTGTTTTTTTTATTTGATATGGCTATATTCACACTTTTCTATTATGTGCTAAAACAATCGATGCTAAATAGATCTTATAAAGATCGTCTTCATTTTTCGTTACCAGAACATCATCGTCTGCATAACATAGTATTTTTACGTCGGCATTCCCCGTTTTATATCCCTTTTCTTTGCATACTTCCATTATTATCTCATTCCTAATGGTATTAAATAATAATGGGCTACGAGTAAAAAGAAGGTGGGAAATCGAAAGGTCAAATGTAACATATTTTTAATTCAAATTGTGGTTTAGGCTTTAAACTAAGGATCATTAAATAAATTTTGATTGAAGAAAAACTGAAGGGAAGTGGAGGAAAAAATGAAAAAGCGTGTAGAGAGATAACCAATCCATGGAATATGTTAGCTACTAAGTTAATTGAACATTGCATGCATGTGACAATTCTTATGGAAAAAATATACAAAATGGGAATACCGTATTAGTTAGATGCAGCTGACGGAAGGGAATATACGTCACGTTTAAAGCGCTCATGTCGGCCAAATTAGTCATCACCATAAGATTTTTATAACTTATAATTATACATATAATTGTTCAAAACGATGGTATGTAATATTTGTTACATCGTAAACTGCTACAGTAATAGTAATAGTGGTTGCACTTTTTATCGATTTCCGAGTCACAGCGAACCATAGACATATATAATACAAAATAGACTGACTGCTTCAATATAGCCGCGTTCCTCCAGTGCGACAGAGAAAACTGACACAAAGCAGTCCCTTCATCTCTGTCTGATGGGCCCAGTTTATCGACCACGTGACCTTCTCGTTGGTCATTTAGTCACGTGGTCTGTTTTGCATCCGTTTTCTCTATCGTACTGGGAGAACGGGCTGGTATTGCAACGATCAGTCTATCTTTTATTATATATCTATGATACGAACTGTGGATTGCAGCTATAACGTCTAATTTATATAGACTAGTATAACTTTTTAAGTAATGGTTACAACAGTAAATCTGCATTTACATTAAATTGCACAAAAAGTGAGGTTAGAATTAGGATCTCAAAAAATCAATTGAAATAATTACTTAAACTCGTCTTCGTAAAATAAATATAAAATATATAAATCAGTATTATATTATTGTTAAAAAAATATACATAAGCTAGTAAAATCTTTATAATACATATATAAATTCAACTTGTAAATGCGTTTGTAAAAATATACAAATTTTGAACTTTCAACAAATCTCTTTGTAATACAAAAATTAATATGTACTACCATAACATTATTTATATATAAATAATTAATTAACAGACAATATATACGATTAATTAGAAATGTTTAATTTTCTTAATGCAGATTTACGAATATTTAACAGATTTATATAAATGTTTTCAATGGTGTAAATCTTATGGTAATAATATAATAACCTATAGACAGCGCTTGTAGAGAATCTTTATAATATTTTTATATGCAAGATATTCAACGATAATTAAATTCATACATTTACGAAACTGACTTTTTATTTTAAATTATTTAAATATTTAAATCTTTTAGGACGCCTGTATACTACACTCCATAACGGCATTGGCTATAGCATATCTCACATTGTGTATAATAAACCTCTCCGAACATCTAGAAGAAACACCTTGTCACTTTTTAGCATATTTGTTATATTTTTCCTTCCTATATTGTTTCTTTTGGCTCAACGTACTGTGCTTTCATATATGGAAAGAAGTTGTGTAAGTATATCTACAGTTCTAAACTGTTTATTATAGTTTTTTTTTCGTAAAAAAAATATCGAATAAATATAATATAAAGTAGAAAATTTCAATTAATACTAAAAAATGCTGGAACCAAATGGTAATGATAAGTACATTACAATTTTATTATCAGAGCACCTAGAAGAAAAAAAGCTCTCGCGTTTTAAAATGTTTCCACAAAGATTTTAAAATTTGATAGAGAGCATGTCTTAATGAGAATGCAGTGAATTTCTGCATATGCATCCACCGTTCATTGTCTTATCAAGTGAAATGGTAGGCAGTGTGTATGTAATTAGCCCCAATTTATGATACCTTGCAAATTCTATTATTTCAGAGATAAGTCTAATATGCGATCCACGTGATATACCCTGTATATTAAATTTTATTAAAATAATGAATGCTGTTATTTTTATGTCATCTATCAGTTTTTTTATTACATGAATCTATTTTTATTAGAATTAAGAATAAGTATGACACTTCAAATATTTCATATTAATAAATGGTAATAAAAATCGTTGATTTATTGATAGAACAGCAATTTTACAAATAATAATGACGCAATACTTATTGGACGACAGCATTGGTATTGTTTAAAACAAAAAAAGGATAGTTAGAGTTAGATTAACCTAATTAACAACATTTTTTAACAATTCCAACATAGAGTTTCAGTAAATATCCTTGTCATATTACAATTTTGTGTTCTTATAGTTAGTTTTCTAGTCATACATTTATCTTGTTCATTCTTAATGTTGCTTGCTAAAGTTTTCTGTTTTTATCTAGTGGTATTTTTTTGTCGATATGCAAATGATCTTTGACATCCTAGATTCTATTCTACTGGATTACTCCTATAAATGTACTATAAAATACGTATATGCTTGAACTTTACCTTACAAATATTTTTATTTGTTTTAATTCCTGCAGTTTTTCTTAAGTTTATAATTTTCAAATTTATCTTCCACTTACACCCCTGTTATTTCTATCTAAATTTTAAATATTTCTTACTCACTAAACTGGCTAACTTCATACCACATTAGAATTAATAAATGTATCAAATTATTAGCTGAGATTTATTAACTTTTTTACATAAAAATTAGGCTAATTAAGTTCAATAAAAGTTCATTGAAATAAGAGCTAATTCACGTGGTAACAAAGTAAACATTCACTGAATGGGTTGCATTCGTGTCGATTATTTTTACTGAAGGATCTTTCAGAATACCTATATTTTTCGTTGTGTTGCCAGGCGTGAGAATGAACAAAGTGGATGTCATCATACGTCCCATTAAGTACATAGTTTTAATTGGTTTAGATTTCTACTTATTAGGACGACCTAGCCAACCTTTAGTTGTAAATTATGCCTTTAGTTGTAAAGTCTTCGTTGGCTCACTCAGTAGATTTAAAAGAATGCAGTGGACTAACAATTTTACTTTGAATTATTACGTTTAAGTCGTCTATATCGTTGTTTTTTGCTGCCAAAATTGTTCTTTCACTCAACCAACTTTTGCTGAATGTGACCATTACCGATAGCCATCAATTACTTGGAGGACTCTTCGGCAGAGAGATGCAACTTTCTTGTTTGTAGACAGATAGTTTCATTAGCTTATCGTGTATTTCCTTCTATTGTGGGTTCAACATTGGTACATTCGTTCGAACTAAACAGTTCAACACATCTCGATCATATTCAATTCTTAATTGAAAGAGTCACTTAATTCAGGATTTGGCTCACGATTTCCTAACTTAACTAACACACTGCTGCACACAACGTAATAAATGTCTGACATCAAAAGCAAAGCCTGGTTATGAATATCCTCATTCACCTCTAGATGGATATTCACCTCTTGAACTGATATGAATTTTATGTAAAGTTCCATTTAACTGCCATTTAACATATCATGATTGTACTTGTTCCACAGTTCACGTGAATTCGATAGAAGACATGCCGAAATAATGATCGCAAACAATGAGTTTATCTGACTTGGAGATGCAGAAACAATTGCTTCAGCGATTGTCATGTCCCAATAATTATCAGGTTCAAGCAATTTGAGCTATTAACATGCAGCACTAAATAATGGGCACACTACATCTTTAACAGTTCGAAATAATTGAAATCGGCCTATAAACATTCACCAACAACAAGCGCAAGTAGCATTCATCACTCACCGGATTAACTATGTAAATATAACCATGAGCATTATTTAAAGGCATACCTGAACGACAAGGAACCGATTCGACTTACTTCCTACGTTGAAAGTTCTTCGAAGAAACGTTTCAAGAGTAATAAACAATTCCAAGTGGGATCTTAGAATAGAGTAACATTCGTCCAAATGGATCGCTTTAGCAACAATTGAGTTAAATAAACTCGTTGACTGCCTCCAGATGCATCGCGAAATGTACAATAACTTTATCATACAACATATATTCGCTATGTTGTATGATGAGGTAGAAATGGTCTCATTGTTGCTCACATATATATCGGCCAACTTGTTAGTGCGTGATTTCATCGTTGGTATCAAATGCCAACGTTCTTGATACCATTTTGAACGATAAATCTTCGTAAAATGGTGTTGAGGTGTAATGTTTAGTCGATCCTATTTTATGATTGCGAGACATGGCCTGTACAAGCAACAACGTTGAACAAATTAGAATCGCTTGAAATGTGATGTTACCACCGTATTCTAAGAACATCGTAGGTATCGCATACTTCCAACGAATGTGTTCTCAGAATGATGCGACACTGAACGTCAGCTGTTGAACACCATAAAAAGAAGAAAAACGGAGTATTTTGAACACATAATTAGATGAGCCAAATACTATTTACTTCGCCTTATCATAAATGGAAAAGTGGAAGGCAAAAGATTGATAGGGCGTAAAAAAACTATCTCAGCTACGCAATATTAGACAATGGTGCGATATGACAGCTGAAGAACTATTTCTGGCAGCAGCTGATAGAGAAACATTTACAAGAATTTATAAACGTGGTAATAATCAACGTTTGATTAGACAAATGGTACGTAAAGAAGAAGAATGGCTATGTTGTGGGTCGAGCTACTAATTCGATTATTCTCTTACCTTTATTAATTAATAATGTTTTTAAAGGTCCTTTTTCTATAATTTTTTATTCTTTCATATCTAACTTTAATTTTTTTTATTGGTTTGTAAACAAATTTAATCTCTCTTATGTATACTAAGTTTAATTTTTAAAGCTGTTGTTTTCTAAACGTGTTGTTGTTATTTTTAAAGAAGTATCCGAACGAATATAGAAACGGTGCAGTTTTTCCTTGCTAATCAGTTTGCTTTTCATTCAGTCAACTCAAAACACAAAAAATACCATATAATTTAAATATTTTTACCTGTAATAAAATAAATGAAATATATCTTTCAGAAAACCAAAATGGTTGGGAAATATTAAGCATTGGAAATTATTGTACCACATTTACGGAATTGGAGCTCCGGTTTTAGCTGTGTGCTGGTTATTAATAATGCACTATGGACATCCCGCCGGACTGTCTTCTATACATCCAGGAATCGGAATATCAAGATGTTGGTTTAAAAGTAAGTACAAAAACTTGCAACTTTACAGCTGCATTTACTATTTTCTTTTTATTTTTGACTGATGTTAGAAGGATGTGAAAAGTTTAAGTTTTGGGAGATTTTAATACCGTATTACGTTCAGGTTTCCATTCTTAAAGGTATTAAGAGACACGATAAAAGTCTGGAGATACATAGTATTCTAAAACTTTAACTAGCATAATAGATACGGACATTATGACGAAACTAAGCAGACCGTGGTACAGCGGGTGATCCTATTTTTTTTGTTGTTAATGATAAAATGGCATGTACAAGTAAACTGTTACTGGCGAGTAGTGGCCAGCAAGTCCGAACGATGGATGCATTTTTTCATGCGCCAGTTAACATTTTGCCGTCATTTTAAATTGAACTTGCACGTATAAACCTTCGTGTTTTGTAGTTAAGCAACTTTAAAAATATCAATTAAAATGAGCAGTTCTCGGGGTAAACAATGAAGTTCTCAGAATACTATAAAATTTCTCGAAGTGTACGAACAACATAAATGTTTATGGGACGTTCATTCTGTCAGATTTCAGTCAGACAAAAAAATAGAGTCTTCCGATGCTAAATACCTCAAAGTGACATTTAACTTAAGTTTCGCAAATAAAGCGTCTCTCATTGAGGTATTTTGTTTTTTTAATATATGGTGCTACTAGCTAAAGAAGAATTTTATACTGTTCCTTCGACACCCGTAAACACCCCAAATTTTTGTAATTTTCTGGATCTTTGGTTGATGGTTATGTTAAAATTTTTTCTGAAGCTCAAATTTATACCTACTTGCAATCCAGTTTCTAATCCAAATTCGTTCAACAATACTTTTTGGAATTAAACGACACTCAACACGGATTCCAAATTTTCTTTCCTCGATTGGCATATTACTATTATGTAAACGACCACGACAAGTCGGAATTGGCAACAATATTCCACTGTACAAACTTAAAAATGAAGCTGGCGTGCAAAAATGTCCCATTTGTTTAAATTTAGTGTAAATATTCACTGGCGTGCAAACCTTTTATAATATATCATATAGAGTATCTGATCTAAAAGTGTAGTACAAAAATCGTACACAAAACCTAAACAGAACAAAACACTTCCCTTCTGACAACTAAAAATCAACAAATAGTTATTGATGGACGCCGTCATCTTGAGTGTGTGGATCAACTCAAAAATACGGTTTTCAATAACAGGGAGGGGTTAAAACATACAATACTCTTTAAATAAATAAGGAAAAAGAGTGGAAGTGATATCGTTAACATCTTAGACAAGGAAAGACAGTAGACGCGCAATCGTATGGAAATGACTGAAGCCTAAACCGGCACCAGAAAGGTTGCCAGGTCATATTTTATTTTTTCAGTAGATTAAGACGTTGATTGAATAACCCAAATATGGGTTATTCAATCAAAGATTAAGAATAATGGATATATATCAATGAATGGATTTTTTTCAAAATTTATAATTGAACACTGATATAATGATCACTTTTTGAACATGATTTTATCATTACATATTATTTAATATATCGATATAGTGTTTCAGTAAATCAGTAAATTAAAGTTGAAATCAAGTAGATCTACTGATAAATCAGTAGACTTGGCAACCCTGCGAGAGGTAGTAATGGGCAACGTACAGGCAGCAAAACATGGCGGTCACATCGAAACTGGCTTCACTTTACGAAGGTCTATTAAATGAGCATTACTTGTCTCCTCTCTTTCCTTGTCCAAGATTAACATGGAGTTAAAAGGCATTGGATATAAAATCGGGGAGAGTTTACTCTATAGTAATTGTATTGTGTATCATTTTTACTATGTTAAAAAATACTGTAAAATTATTCCAATATTGATGCACCATGAACTATATTTTTAACAATTTTAAAAGTCTTAAAAAACTTTAATTCAAATGTTTATTTTTTAGCTGCAAGGGAAAGTCACATTTATTTCAATGGACCAGTTGCGGTTTTACTTATAATTAATATAGTATTCTTCATTTGGACGATAGTGGAACTATGGAAAAGCTCTAAAAACTGCCCAAGAACTAAAATACTCAAATTCAGGTAAAATTATAAACGAATTAATTAATATTTTTATAATAATATCTAACAAATATTTTAGACTAAAAATGTACGTGAAATTATTCTTTGTTATGGGAATTACTTGGATCTTTGAAATTATCTCAACCATTTTTGAAAATGATGCACCTAAGTGGCTTTGGTAAGTACATTATATGGGTTACAAAGAAAAAATATATTTAAACAACTAAATAGTTCAAAAACAGTCATCATTTATAATTTTTTATTACCAATTCGAAAAAATATTGACATGCTACCACGCTAACTATAGCATTACTGTTGATTTGGACCTAATAACGCACCAAAAACTAAAATCTTTCTTTCACAACTACCGCAGAAAATATCTGTTTCAAGAAAAAAAAAAAAGCATTTCAATTATCCGAACTCAATATAGAAACACTTGTCAAAACTTTAGCATGGGGAATTACAATTTAGTCATAAACAAATTCATATATCTCGGTTCCTTCATGGTCAGTGATAACTTCATAACGAAAGAAATATAGGTACCACAAGGAAAAAGATCTGAATTAAGCACCTAGACAACAGAAATTTAAACCAAAAATCCAACATAGCAGTGGTAACGTAGATATTGAAAAAATGGATCATTACTAAAATAGATACAAATATCTACATCTTCCAATGAAAGATTGAAGAAAAATACTTGGTGTAATCTGTGAAAACAGCACGTAAAAAGGCGGTATAATTTTGATATAATATATTTTGATATGATTTCATTTTTATTTAAAATTTTGATGATTGATTTTCTATAATTCGATTATGGTATATGTAAAGAAATAGCCACTAGTAGCACAACATAAACATGTATGAAACTCAGTCAAATAATTTTATATTTCTTATATTATTTAAATCAACTATCTAAACATATTCTTCATTTCAGGATTATTACTGACGTTCTCAACGCAATGCAAGGAATAGTAATATTTCTAATCTTGGTAGTCTTCAGAAAAACCATCAAAAGGGCCTTTGCTAACAAAAGAATTTGCAAATGGAGATTACCGGCTCAATGGAAGAATGACAAAGACAGCGAATGTGAAGAATTGGATGAAGATATTAGTCTCAGTAACTGCGTTACAAACAAACCAACTATTTATTAAAACAAGATATGAAGTCTCCCAGGATTATATTAAAAAAATTATGTCGATAAATTAAGGAAAGGTGTTAAGTGGAACTTTGCCAAAAATACATAAATGGCAGCGATGGATTTGTTATAGGAAGTAAAAACCAGCAACACTAACAATGCATGTACATATTTTAAAGGACAAAATGTTTCGAAAGAATCTTAACAATTTACATGTTTTTCCTATGGAAATAAATAGTACGATTTTTTATTATGAGTAAGATGTATATATAATTAATATTAATATAGAAATAATTTTCTCTACCATGTTTTTTATTATACTAAAACTCAAAGTCATAAATCAACTGAAGCTGCATTTAGACAACGTGTAGCAAGTTACACTCATGTTATTGCCTGTCATTCCATTAAAAACACATACACACAAACATATGATGATAGCTGTTTCAAAGTTTATTGAAGATTATCCTAATTCACCGAAGTTATATTACATTAAGGAGTTATTCTCACATAGTTACTACATTCTAATTAGTCACCGTTTTGTGCAGCGGGTAAATATTTCAGGGATTTCTTTCTAATTCCAAACCTTGACTATATTTTGTGTATATACTTGGCCATTGAAACTAAAAACCACTCATTTAAAAAGTTCTCTTTGGGTGCCATTACTTCCTGGGAATTTGCTATTTTTAAATACTGTATATCTGGTAATTCCTTTAATGAAGAGAGTTCCAAGAGTGTATTTCTATTTTGCCCTTGAATGGTAAAGAGTCGAAAGAAGATAATGCAGAAACTTTAACTGTTGATTAAAAATGAGAACGTGCCATTGCAGCAGTTTTAAAAGAAACCCTTAAAACACTTGGAGAAAAAAAACCTTGGATGATAGTAGCAATTATTGAACTTATGGAAGAACGAAGAAAACATAAGGCGAAAGATCTGAATAAATAAAATTCAGAGAATCATGAGAATAAAATATTCGAGAAGAAAAAGAGAGGTGGCTCTCCGACAGATGCAAGGAAACAGAAGATCTGGATAAAAATATGATAGCTTTAATTTACACAAAAAAAGCAAAGAAATGACATGTTCTAGAAAAATCACAAGAACGAATATCGTTAGAAATGGTAAAGGAGATATTATTGATATGAAGGAGAGATTATGTCACTGGACCAATTACATCCAAAAACTATTTAATGATAAAAGGGAAGAACTGTCATTAGAAACCACAGAGGATACCGGACCGCTAATATTACGGGAAAAAGTTGTCAATGCCATCGAAAACACAAAAGAGGGCAAAGCTACTGGACCAGGTGATGTGTCCGTCGATTTATTAAAACTCATCTTTAATCTAATATATCAGACTACCACGATCCCCAGATAATGGCTGTAGTCGACCTTTGTAACAATACCCGAAAGTTAAGTGTAACAACATGCTCAGATCACAGAACAATAGCTTTATTAACTCACATACTTAAAAAACCATTTTTGAAAATAATACTCAGCAGAATTGCGACTCTCAAACTCTTGAATATGAAATAAGTGACACACAATTCGGCTTTAGAAGTTGTATGGACAAAAGAGATGCTTTGTTCGGATTAAATCTGCTGGCCAAAAGATGCATAGACGTGAATCAGGACATGTACAATTTTGTAGATTTTGAAAAGGCATTTGATAAGGTTCAACATAAAAAGCTTGTAGATGTATTCCAAAGCAAAAATATTGACAGTCTTGATATGAAAATGATATCTAATCTATATTGGAATCAAACTGCCACGGTAAGAGTTGATATCCAGAACACCCGAAATATTAAAATTCAGAGAGAAGTCCACCAGGGTTCCGTGCTGTCTCCACTACAATTCAATGTCTACAGTAAAGCGGTATTTAAAGAAACGCTCTCAGATTCAGTAGAGGATATATTTATCAATGGAGAAGTTTTTAATAACTTATGTTTTTCATGCGATACAGCATTAATGACGGATTACAACAATCATTTACAGAACATAATTCAACGCCTTAATGAATGTTGTCATGAATACGGACTAAAGATGAGTTTGAAGAAAACTAAAAATGCATGATCATGACTAAATCAGAAGATGCAAACATACAATTGATTGTTGAAGATACTGTAATTGAGACCCACAAATACTTGGGAACATGGATAACATCAAATGAGACCAAACAAAAGAAATTACGACTGTATTGAAATAGCTCGTGCATCATTCATTAAACTTAAAAAGTTTCATTTTTGTCGGGATATATGATAAGGACTACAACTAAGGATGCTTCGGTGTTACATGTTCTCTACTCTTCTATGCGGCTTGGAAGCATGGACATTTGTGTCACCCTAACTATTATTTTGTGGATTTGATAATTTACACAATCACACCCACATTTAAAAAGATGTCTTTGGATGCCATCACTTCTTGGGATTTATTATTTTTATGTGCTGTATATCTGGTAATTCCTTTAATGAAGAGAGTTCCAAGAGTGTATTTCGGTTTTGTATATTGAGTTCTGTGTTATTCACAGATAAAGCTGCGTTTTGTCTCTACCTTGATTTAAGAAGAGTGAGAGTTGATCGATAAGAGAGACTCCGGCATGTACAGGGTGTTTGTCCATATAGTGGTCTACAGCGTATGATATGGGCTGGAATAATTTTTCATCATTGAACTGTTTTCGTTTCTGCGGAAGGCACTTTGAATCAATAGCAGTATATTGATTGTATCTTAGAACCTGTTACCCTTCCACTAGACAATGCTGCAGGTCCTAATTTGCGTTACATGCAGAGGAATGCAAGGCCACATATTGCATCAACAGTAAGAGATTGGTTTCGTAGTTCGACACATTAACCGTGGCCAGCACAATCGCCAGACCTTAATATTATCGGGTATATAAAGCCGCGTTTTCACGATGGCAATTGGCGAGACAATTGTCAGAAAACAACTGACTGGCATGAAATTATTGTCTTCGTGTAAACACTTCAGGCCAATTGCCTTGCCAACTGCCCTCACAATTGGCCCAAAATTCAGTTGTCTCCGGGAGTAGACTGAGGACAATGAGCTGCGCCCAGTTAGCCCCTCCACCACTCGAAATCTCAATTGTCGCGACAATTGGTGCCGTGTGAACGCTGTAGGCCAGTAGTGCTGCCAGTAGTAATTTGTGTTATTTGGGTTAAATTTAATTTTCGTACAATGAACATAACCTATAGATATGTTTGACGTTAAATGTAAGCTTAATATACGTCAGTGTTGACATATACTCAATTATTTCACACTCTCATATATAAAATTATGGGCAAGATTTATATATATATGAAATGAAAATTTAAAATTTAAAAATACATATATAATTAAACAAAAACGTAAAAAATACATATATAATTAAAAGCCTTAAAATTATACCTATAAATATTATAAAATAAAATTATATCTTACATTTAAAAATACTTATATACCTAATAAAAACCATTAAAATTATGCTTAAGGTAAAAATTAATAGTTTAGAAACTTTAAAAACTACAGAATAAAGTAAAGTTAAATGAAAATAAAAAAATTAGGTTAAACATAAGAATACACTAAATACTTAGCTATATTTAAAGTAAAAAATACTATTTTATGAATGCTTTTTAATATGAATTCAAAAATTGTGGCTTATCATAATAAAACATTATATAAAAATTTAATGGGAAAGTCCCAGTAGTTGGCTGTATACCATCGTTTAAAAAACTTATACAGAAGTAAAACACTTCACATTTATCTAAGTATATACCTAAATACAAGTGTGAAGCATTTTACTTCTGTATAAGTTTTTTAAAACATATACAATTTCGTCAAAGTATCTTTCTATTTTAAAAACTCCTATACTTTATACAAAAAAATGTGGCAACACTGTGACGCACAAACATATAGTTGTCATGTTTTAGCTGTCTACTGCCATGGCAATAGTTGGCCCCGTATAAACATCTTCTCGTTCAACTGGACTGGCCTCCGACAATCCGAAACCACGTGATGACAATTGTCCAATGACAATTGTCCAATGACAATTGTCTCGCCAATTGCCATCGTGAAAACGCGGCTTAAGAGATATGCTTCAGAAACAAATTGCTCCTCATCTGCACAATATTTATACTAGATAAGGTATTGAAGATCTTAGATAGGAATGGGTCCTACTGATTCGAAATGAGTTTTATAATTTAATTTTAAGCATGCTAAGGTGGTGTCATTAATGCTGCTGGAGGAAAGGCAGATTATTAAACATATTTGTTGTTAGATTTTTATCTTTTATATTGACTTTAATGTCAAAAAATTCCATTAAATTAGTGCTCTTTTTAACTCTTGTTTGTTTATTTTATGATGGAGAAATCATATTAAACTAAAATTGCCGACTAATCAGACATCACAACGGTATGTGACTTTTTATAATCCAATGAAAATTGCTGGATTTATGAGAAAAAACATTGGGGTTCCTTAGACATTTTTGATGTATTTAATTTAATTTTCTTGTTTAGTTTTACTTTTATAACGATTTAATTTCTTACAATATACCGTTTTCAAAATTACGTTCTTCTATGCAAGTACTTATCTTACCTCCCAACAAGTTTTTTTCTCTACTGCATATGTATCGTCAGCATGAAACCAACTATTAAATGGTGTACGTCTTTCTAGTAGGTACTAGAATTTTATTCGATGCTTCATGACTATTATTCTTACATATGTCCCAGTGTTCGCTAATTGTAAGACCCTCGTTGATTATTTTCTTTTACTATAGGTTTCAAATCTTTCTAATACACTCACATCTTATAGTCCAGAAACAAGTATTGCCTTAGAGAAAAGGGAATGAGTATGAAGAATGATGTATTGGTGAGATTGGTAGAAAAAAAGATTTTTCAAACAACAGCATATCAACTAAGCATTAGATAAGAACACTAAATCCAAAAAAGGTATACAAAAGCCTACAAATTGTAAAAAATGCCAAAACAAAAATAATCTAGTTAGAAGCCATCATCATCAGTTGGCGCTACAGCCCTTCGTGAGTCTTGGCCTGCTTCAAAACATTCTTCCATCCTTCCCTATCGAGCGTCTGTCTTTTCCAGCCCCTCACTCCAATCTCCCTCAAATCTTCCTGTACATCGTCCAGATATCTGAGTTTAGGTCGCCCCCTTCTTCTTCTTCCGACCGGCCTGTTTAGCATAGTTATTTTAGTGGGATCACTCTCATCCATCCGCATAACGTGGCCCACCCACCTTAGGCGGTTTATTTTGATGGTCTTCACAATATCTGCATCACCAAAGAGTCTATAGAGTTCAAAGTTATATCGCCTTCTCCACAGACCTTGTTCGTTTACTCCGCCATATATGGTCCTCAATACTTTTCTTTCAAAGACTCGTAGTAACTCTTCATCTCGGGTCGTCATTGCCCATGTTTCCGATCCGTATGTGAGCACTGGGCGTATTATTGTTTTATAAAGTTTGCACTTTGTTGCTATTGACATACTTCTCGCCCTTAGTTGAGGGCCCAGGCCAAAATAACAGCGGTTAGCCACGCATATTCTTTTTTTTTTTTATCTCGTTGGATGTGTTATTTTTGTAGTCTACCAGTGATCTTAAGTAGCAGAATTCTTCTACCATTTCTATCGTTTCGTGTTGCACCTCTAAGTTATTTTGTTGAATTCTTGATATGGCCGGCATATATTTAGTTTTCTGGATGTTAATCAGAAGTCCGATGTTTTCTGCGGCATTTTTGATACGTGTGAAAGCCTCCACTGCTTCATTTTGGGTTTTTCCAATTATGACGATATCATCAGCGTATGCCAATATTTGTATACTACGGGTATATATCGTACCTTTTAAGTTTATTCCCGAATCTCTCATAACTTTTTCTAACGCTAGGTTGAATAGCATGCATGATAGCGCATCTCCCTGGCGCAGTCCTCTGTTGGTTTTAAATGGTTTTGAAACATCCCCTTGTACGCGTACTTTACATTCGACTTTCATCATTGTCATTTTAATTAATTCTACCAATTCTTTTGGTATTCCTAATTCGATCATCGCCGAATATAATTGTGACCTGTCAATAGTATCGTACGCTGCCTTAAAGTCTACGAAGATCTAACGGCAGTCTATGTCGTACTCCGTCGTTTTTTCTAATATTTGTCTGATGGATGATATGTGATCAATGGCAGATTTTCAAGAAGTCTCTTTGGTAGGATCCTATTATATTGTCAGTATGCCGTGCCAGTCGTTCGTTAAGTATCAGGGACACAATTTTGTATGCTGTATAAAATCCCTCTAAAGTTGGAACATTCAAGAACGTTTTCTTTTTTGTGTATGGGGGCATATAATTCCAGTATTCCAATCTTCTTGTAACGCGCGTTCTTGCCATACCTGTATTAGTAGTTTGTGAAGGATGGTTACAAATGTTTGACCGTCACATTTGTAACTTTGACTACAGTTAGAAGTAGAAAAGTTAAAACTGGTCTATTAATGAAAAATCAGTAACAGCACAGCAACTAAAATCAAAAGTTCAGTAATTTAAAAATATAGAAATAAGCTTTCTAATAATACAAACCGCAGACAAAGAATTTTATTGCTAAATAATTGTTTTTATATGAGGTTAAAAAATGTATTATAAGCAATGAATATAAAGTTGGAATTGATTTAAATATTTTTTCTAGTAAATTTTAATGGTAAATATATTAATATTGTCGTGTCCCGTATACCACTATTAAAGTAGGTACAATAAATATCCACCGACTATTTTAAATTCAAAACTCAAAAGATCTTTATATATTATTATGATAAAAGTGTCAATCTGCACGGTTATAAAATAACCACATAACTGCCAGAAATAAAGAATTCGTTTCAGAAAAATATTTCGACTAAATTAATTGCATACAACATTTTATTGGAAAGTATCCAGAAATAACAAAAATATCATAAAGGCATGACAAAGATTAACTAGTTCATTAACACACACACACACACACACATATATATATATATATATATATATATATATATATATATATATATATATATATATATGTATATATATATGTATATATATATATATATATATATATATATATATATATATGTATGTATATGTATATATATATATATATATATATATATATATCTATCTATATATATATATATATATATATATATATATATATATATGGATATCTTGGGTTTAGTAGTTAATATTGGCCTTTAAGTAAAACTCTTTTAAGTTTGTTAAGCTTTCGAGTTTATTGTACTCTTTTTCAAAACGTACTAAAAATTAACATAAAAAATTACATTAGAAAAATTAAGTATCTTCAATAGGCTTACCCTTGTGAGGATTGTGTTTTAAAATTAGCAAATTTAATTAACATAATGACATTAAATTTGATTTACTTTTTCGTTCTGTCAAAACTTATTATCAAATCTAATACGAAGAATCGCCGATTTGCAAGTTTCTGGAAAGAGTGGGAGAGGAATAACAAAGCAGACTTGATGGGTGGTAAAGGCAAAGAGAATGTTGATTTTTTTTAAACTAAGATGAGGACGAATAATAAGGTAGATCATATAAAATGGTCAATGGAAAGATTATGCAATATTTTATTTCATACTTAAAGATACAGATACATAAGAAATATACTTTAATTTGTCAGGAGGGTGAAATATATTATAGTACAAATAAACGCATAGGTATAAATGATATTTTAGTACAAAAAAATTAATTGAAAAATTACAAGTACGCAATGGTTAGAACGTTTTTTTTTTAACAAACTGGTGATAAAACATGATTATTTTTATGAAAAAATAGTTTACTTGAACGCTTCCGTTCTCTTTTAGACAAAACAATAGCCCTAACAGCGTTATGAAAAACTTCATTAACTCCAACTTTAGTTTTAGCGGAACATTCTACGTAACAGAAAGCTTTTATGCTCTCAGCAACAGCTCTAGCCTCCGAAGATCGCACTGGCGCTTTTTTAATCTTCCGCAACGTCTTAATCAACTGAAAATCGTGTCGCAAATCCACTTTATTGCCCACTAATATAATAGAAACGTTTTTGCACCTTTTATGTATTTCGGGATACCATTTATTTACAACACTATCCAGAGATTCCGGTTTGTCGAAAGAAAAACACAACAAGGCTACGTCCGCGTCCGGATACAATATGCTGCACATGCGATCAAAATGTTCTTGTCCAGCTGTATTCCACAAGGCGAGTTCTATATCTTTTCCTGCGGTTCTCACGTCTACCACCGCATATTCTAAAATTTTAGGAATATATTCAACAGGAGAAACTTCTTGTGTAAAAGCTCGCAGAAGACTTGTTTTTCCTGAAGATTTATCTCCGATTAGCACTACTTTCTTTCGCTCCAGTGGCACAATACTTGTTTCGTGTTGTATACGATTATGTTTATGCGAAAAAGTCGTCATAATATCCATTTTTGCAATATTATTAGTATCAACCATACGTTGATCATTAAACGTCTTAAGCAAGTTTGTTGTTTTTAAATGTGTGATATCTTTATCGTTACAATCCAGTTTTTGTTGTAATTAAAGTAACGACTGTCTTATTCATTTACTGCTAGACAAGGCGAAAAACTCGGGTTCGTTAGTCCGAAATACGAAATACCCCAAAATAAGGTTCAAGAGATAGCCCAGGCGAAAAAGTTGTTCAAATTGTTTTAAACAATTTTTTTTTACAAATTGTACAATCAATTTTTCAGGTCCGGACAAATTTTTTTTGAATTTTTGGACCATTCTGAATAATATTGTCTCTCGTAATTATTGTTCTGTAAATTTGATCGTTTTCGAGTTATAAATAATTTAAAACTGAAAAAAGTGTAAAATTACTATTTTCACGAGTCAAAAACACACCTAAAAAATATTTTTGAATTCGCCAAGGATCTAAATTCAAACCTTATTCTATTATTTCCCGATAAGTATTTTGGGTTTATTTAATATTAAAACATTTATTTTTATTCGTTAACGCCCTGCCATGCACGGTTCTTTAGGTTAATTTTTTTTTTTAAGTTTTTAAATTATGAACATCATTATGAACAAGTATTTACTATTTAAATGGGAATAAGCCACAATTAAAGGTTAAAGTACGTTTATTGACGTTTCAATTTCCACTTCGGAAATCATTTTCAAAATACAAATATTAGTAAATTAAACAAATTTTGTTTTTTTTTTGTTGCTTGGTGAAAAAATTCTTCTAATAATTTAATTTTATTTGACTCATTTATATTGACAATTCAGACATACATTTTAAAGTAGACGACTTTAAAATGATATTGCCAATATTGTTAAGTTGTGTTCCTGGGACTATTTTATTTGTAAGAAAGTCATTCGATCACATGTAATCAACTTTAACTTGAGAATATTCGTCAGAAAACATCATAGCATGTAATTCGTCTTTAAAAAGACAAACACATGTCATGATGACAGTAAACTCTCCTGTTAGTAATTCCTTAGTAAATTATGAGGGAAAAACAAGGAAAAAATCCTCATAATACTATCCAGACATGGTAAGTATTTGGTCGTGCATTTAGTTTACTTTCAATAAACACCAAACTCTGATTTTATATGTTTGTTATTTAAAAAACATAAATGATGTATCCCCTATACGTTACTGACTTAATTATACTGGTATTTTACTTTTAATAACTTCCTCTTTTAATATGGATAACTAGATCCTACTACATTCTGCCGAGGAATTTGCGACACAATTGGTCTCATTTAGAATAATTAGAGCCGCTTCTTTGATTTTTAATAATGATAAAATTATTAATAATATGAAACTGTGATAATGGATAAAAATCAATATGAAAACAGAATTGAAGATCTAATAATAAACGGACCTTATACAAAATTAGCAAAGGATCCAACAAAGCCTTTGGAAAACAGAATATATAGAACTTTATTCAAGTTTAAGGATTGCTTAACAAGGTATACAGTAAGACTACTCATTTTTATGGACTACCGAAAGTTCATAAAATGAATATACCACTTAGATCCATTTATTAGCCGATATATTTATGGAAGATTTTGAAACAAATATTATTTCTAAGCAGAATTTAAAACCCACAGTATGTAGATGATGTATTCTCAATATGGCCTCATGGATCGCAGTTGGACACATTCCTGAATGATATAAACGATAAAGAAGAGACAATAAAATCTGCCATGAAAAAGGAATATAATAACACAATACCTTCCCTGGATGTTTTAATATCTAAGAATGATACTGGATATGAGCCTCAGGTGTATAGAAAACCAACACACACCAAGAACAATTTAAGTTATAACAATTTAACATTTGTGTATAGGAGATTTAAACAATTTAAGCTATATTAAACTTTGAAAATTTGGCTAATAGAAGTTAGCTGGCTACTCTGGCTAATAGAACAACTCAAAACGAACATTTTAAATGTTTTGGTAAATGTTTTTATGTTAATTTTTGACCAAGATATGGAACTTTGAATAATGCGCTCTGAGACTGCGCTCTCAAACTGCCAAAGGCTCAATTTTGTTTAAAACTTTTATAAACAAATTATTTCACCATTTTTTAGCGAAAATTTTAACTATAAACTGCTATAACTTTTTTATTTATAATGATAAAGTAATATTCATCTCTGAATATACTTGGATTTTACGTATGTATTGATTTTTATTCGCTGCGAGCTGACCACGCGTGTCAGAGCGCGTTATTAAAAGTTCCATATCTTCAAATTCCAATGTTTGACAATTTTTGACAAATGTTTGACAATTTGTTATTGTCAAACAATTACAATATTAAAAACTGAAGTTCTCCATTCAGTAATACAGGATAGTTTGAACTATGTTCTTCCAACCATTAATTAATAGAGTACCGGCATGTAAGTAATGTTTTGTTTATTTACTAATTTATTACAATTCAATAGACTATTTTTATACCAATTTTTGGGTCTTACTTTGTCTGGTTAAACAGTTTATTCATTTTTTGGAAAAACCACAGACATGTAATATTGGCATAATTACTGTAAATTATATAATTGATCTTTGTTTATCTTTATAAGACAACATCCTAATATGGGTTTTATTATTTTAGCATTTAATTAACTTTGCGTCGACAGACCTGAAGATGCTTTGCATATTGTAGAAAGCAAAACCGGTCGTCTAGATAGTTAAATTAAACTGATTGTGAGAAATTCTTATTTATTATTTCTTTTACCTAGTTAGGTATTATTGACTGACACGTTATGTAAACTAAAGTTTTATTTTGAGGTAGCAGTCATTATTAGGTCAGCATAAGTAAAACTCGTTGTTTTATCTAGCTTTCGCAAAATGTATTCGCTTCTTCATTGTATAAAACTAGCACAACAAGATACAACATGACGTTAATCCATTAAATTTTGAAATTCACAAAACATTTAAACATTTAAACTTTTTTAAATTATATATATAATTACAATATTTTAATTTTATAGGAATCATTATTGACAATAATTATTATTTTGATGTTTGATTTATGTCAGAAAGAAACTTGTTTCTGTTTATTATATTTTTTGTTGTTGATAACTAGTTTTCGATTGTTTGATTGACCTAACCTTTCCTAATAAATTCTGAATCTCGCCTCCCCCCCAGTCAACCCCAGAAATCTGTGGAAGACTGTAGTAATCAAACCCAGCAGGAAGCAGGGTCAAGGCTAAGGAGAGTAAGAGAAATGTTTTCTAATAAGGGGTTTGGATCATCAGACCAACATTTATTAATGATATCCATATAAATCTATCGATTACATCACCTAATAAAAAGGAAAACGGGCGGATCTTATGATGACCATCTGGTAAACGAAATAAGGAGCTGAAACTGAGAATATGGAAGGTAAGAACATTTTACCGTATAGGTACACTGAAAGTATTCAGTCTCTCGAGGTGGAAAGATGATAGTAATGACAAGAAAGAGGCTTACAATCTACTTCAGTTCTCATGTAAGTCAACACACTTTTGGAATCGGATTTATTATTGGAACCAGACAAAACAAGTTGTAATATATGTCAAAGCCATAAACAACCGAAAATGCATAATAGAAGTAAGAGGAAAATTATGCAATTATGGCATAATTAATGTCCACGCTACAATGCTTCCACCTCTCATTATAAAAAAAGAAGATAATATATTACGCGGCACAGTAGACTAGCGCGAAACTTCAGACTGTTTCTTCTATTTTTAAATCTGAATAAAGAAATGTTATTATTTATTTATTTTATATTTTCAACAAATTATATTATATTAAAATAATTCAACAAATTATTATGTTTGCTCCTAACGCCACCTGATAACGTATTAACAAAGCATAGGTTGTTTACTTCTAACAGACCTGTGAAATTCAAAATAAATATTAAATTAATAATAAAATACAAAAATACACCATTTTCTAGTAAATTTAATCATTATATAAACTAAATAAGATTTTAAAACCAATAGTTGTATCTACATGATTTTATTTTATAACGACTATTGTCATAAAAATTTAGGAATTCAATATTGTTATTAATTGGATGATATATATGATTTTTAAATCTTTAAAATCGTTACGAATCGAATCTTTTATTCACAGATATTCTTTAAATTTTTTTACTTCTCATTTAATGTCTGTGTTTTGTTAGTTATTTTTTAGTTTAAACCTGTCTAGAACAAATATATAATGACGAGAAACGAATTGATCAAGAGTAATGAATCGATGTGAAGAACAGCTATTTCCTGACGCTACCCGTGACGCCTTCTCATGACGATAGTTCCGTGACGTTGGCCTCAGCATTTTACTGTAGAGAAAAAAGTAATACAACGCCAGTTAGATAGTTCGAATGTAATTATAATTTTGAATTGTTTCTAATTCCCTGTGTTCGATGCTTCTCGATCCACGATGATAAAATAGAATGTTGAAGTCGTGGAGTAAAATATAGTTTTATTGACAGCTACTGTATTACACTATGGTTGTTGTTAAGGTAAAACTTTATAATAGACTGCGTCCCAAACTAGTCCCGAAGCTATATTTATAATCTCACAAAAACGGTACGATTAATCAAATAGGTGTATTGCCCGCTGCATAGAACAAAAACCTTTGACTTTTGAATACTGGCAAATATAATTTGGACTGGGAAGCATTTCCTCACTACCTATTACACAATCTGTATTTTACAGGAAGTTGAACAAACTGTAATTAAACGACTAACCGGTATTTTTCGACCCATTTAGGTCACGTGCTCCATAAACCCAACCCATTAGAAAAAGATGCAAAAATTTCTTTGCGTCAGTTTTCTCTACCACACTGGAGGAACGGCCCTGTATTTCAACATTCAGTCTATTTGTATTATTATTATATGTCTATGATTATCTCACTAGTTAAAGTTAGGTTTGGTAAGATACGTTTTGGATAGATTAGATCAAAATAACGAGATAGCAGATAGCAGAATGAAGTCGATTGATATTAGGTGTCTAGGTGAGATTAGTTTTTTTTAGTTTAAGTATAGATTTATAGACGGACGGTGAAGATACCTTGGACAGCAAGAAAAACTAATGAGGAAGTACTGTCGGTCAACAAAGATAAAGAATTGCTAAAGACTGTTTAGACATCGAAAAATGTCTAATCTGGGACATATAGTGAGAAAAATCGATATAGAATATAACAACCGATCCTAAAAGGCAAAATTGCAGGCCGTAGAAGTGTAGGAAGAAAACTAGTTTCTTGGTTAAAAAACATTCGTGAATGGACGGAGATATCAAATGCAGTACAATTATTACATATGACAGAAGATCGAGAAGCCTTTGCAATGGTGATCGCCAACGTCGGATAACTCTGATATGGCACGTGAAGAAGATAGATTTAAAAGTTATGTAAATATGAGTATTTCTTCCCGAATAATGACAATTATTGGCGCGGGGACAAACCGTGAATGTGAACACTAAGAAATAATATCAAAAACAGGAATGAAGCCATATTAACAGTCCGTTAATATTACCAAAGAATATAGACGTCTATATTCTATATTATATTCATCCGAACCTTGGAATGTTAATCAGTACCTCATTGTATACATGACAAGGACAATGACATTGACATTACATTCGAAAAAGTGGGGTTATGGGTATTAGATTTGTAAGATTGTTATAATAGTTTGTACTCAAGTGATTATGTTTGAAAACAACTCATTAAAATTCATCCTTGAATTATGATATTTAATTTTTATTCAGATGACAATGTTTTACGAAAGGGAAGTTAATTACTATTCGAAGACAAATTAGTAATTCGATGAGTCAAAAAAGTAAAAACTTCATAAATTTATTTTTATGAACTGCAGTTTTACTAATGTTTTATTTATAAAAGCAAGTATTCTAATCACAAATAAAAACCAATGTTTTTCTTAAACGAAAGTACAATTAGTAGACAACGATACAAAAATATCTAATCTAAAAATGAGAATACATAGGAATATGATTTATAACAGAATGCATTTATTTATAATCCTTGTTTTGGCATATACTGTACAAGCTGAAGTTCCAAAAGGGATAGATAAAATACCAAAAGTTAAAGTCAATAAATGCTGTGAGAAAAATGAAATTTATATAGGAAAACACTGTGTTAAGACCAATAAAACTAGTGAAGAATGGATGCCTCTTTTTGTTACTGAAAAAGGAGTAAGCAACCTGCAAATCAATTACACGTAAGTGATATGTATATGTAGACTTAAACAATAATATATATGTCACACCAATTGAGTATGTTAAATTTTATTAAATTTATTGTACTTAATCAACATTTTAGGTTATATATATTGTCTGTTAGATATATACATTTTAATATCTTCCTTTATTTCATTTATACCCATTTGTGCTGTTCTCTCCAATGATCTCCACTATTGCACAGCAATATTTTTCAATTGTTATGTATAGGTATCCCAACTTTTGATACTTATGTTTCTTCCAGATCAAAAAGGGCTGCTTCCTTCCACTTTCTTATTCACTATACAAATTATGGTCTTTACACTTTTATATTCCATGTCTGTTAGACTAGCTACCAATATCTAGATATTGACTTTTCACTTCCTATAACACATTCTTAAATGAAGTTCTTAAGTTTAAAGCTGTGAAAAACTTTGATTTTATGATTGTTACTTATACCTAATTGTTAGTGTTGTTAATTTTTTGTTTATGATTTTTCAAATGGTTAATTGTAATTGGAAATAGGCCAGTAAAGAATTCAAAGAAAAATTAAGTATCTGTAATTTCTATTGATTAATATTACTGTCGATTCTAGATTATATTTCTCATTTTTTTATTATATCGTTTTTAAAATTTTGTACAATTGAGTTTTAAAAATTGTAAATAAAATACCAACTTTGTTATCTCTTTCTTACCTACCTTATAAATATATATTTTATATTTAATAATACAGCTATATTTAAGAGAAACTTTTTGAATATTCTAGGTTAATTATTGGGCGTCCAGATTGTGGGCATGTACAAACATGGCCAATTTATCATTATTATAATTCTACTGACAGATTAAGATTATTACCTAATGGTGTCTTAAGGCACTATTTTGATCATATTGATATTCCTGATGCATTTGATTTAGATAATATAAACCCCACTGCCCCATATTATGATTATGAACAAGGAAAATATTGTATTGATAAGGTAAGTGAGTTTTTTTTTTATTTTTGGTAGATAAAATTCTTTATCTGTTCATCAAATAACCTGTTTTGCAAAAAAATATCCAAATTTCAAACATAATTGTCCATTATTTGTCAATAATCAGTAAACTTATTTACTTAATCACAACTGAAAAATTTACACTGCACAAGCAAATAGAGATAATAATTCAGAAATTACTTAATGTTGCTTAGGAAAATTGACTAACAAAATTTCCTTTGAGATAAAGGATGGACTCAGACAAGGAGATGCTCTGGCTTGCCTCCTATTTAATATTGCCTTAGAAAAGGCAGTCCGAGATGCACGAATTAGGGATGGCGGTACAATTTACAATAGATTGATACAAGTCTTAGCATATGCTGATGATATTGACATAGTAGGGCGTAGCAAGCGAGATGTTGAGCAATATCTCCTAGAATTGGAAACAGCTGCGAAACAGGTCGGTCTAGTCATCAACGAAGACAAAACCAAGTACATGTTGGTTACAAAGGATCCGATAGCAAATGAGGAACGAGAAACAGTCTTTGGAAGTCATACCTTTGGACATGTTGACAACTTAACATACCTTGGGTCGCTATTGACTGCTACCAATAAAACAAGCGAAGAAATCAAAAGACGAATAAATCTTACAAATAGGGCATACTATCTACTCCAAAAGCATTTCCACTCAAGAAACATTCAAAGAAGAACTAAAATTATTATATACAAAATATTGCTGAGGCCGGTCCTCACATATAGAGCAGAAACATGGACTCTAACGCAGAAAGATGAAAGACTTTTGGGAATATTTGAGCGTAAAATACTCCGCAAAATATTTGGAGCTGTAAACGACCAAGGGCAGTGGCGCAGAAGATATAATTTTGATTTGTATCAGCTCTTTGATGAGCCAGATGTCATAACGTTCATTAAAACACAGCGACTTAGATGGACTGGACACATAATACGAATGCCAGAAAATACCATTGCTAAAAAGCTAACCACAGGAACACCTGTAGGAAAAAGAAGCAAAGGCCGACCGCGAATTAGGTGGTTAGATGGAGTAGAAACCGACTTACGAATATTAAAAATCAGAAGATGGCAACATGTTGCCAAAAACCGAACAGAATGGCGACGAATCTTAGAGCAGGCCAAGATCCACAGAGGATAGTCGAGCCAAAGATGATGATGATGTGTAAAAAACTGTATTGTCCCAGCCAGACTATTGCCGGGGTATGTAAGTATACCTCGATTATAAGTCATTTTTTATTTTTTTCATATTTTTTTATACTAATTGCATTCTCAGCATTAATCAAAATAAAGCAGTAATTTGAATTGATTAAATTTGTTCTACATATTTTAGAAAGAAGAAGGAATTACCAGTGAATTTGCTTTGGTGTGCCTTCCAGATGCACACAGACAATGGATAATGAGCACAGAATTTTTAGTGTACAATGTAGTAAATCCCATAACACATGGAATATCAATGGTTTGCCTATTAATTGTGGCAATAATATACTTTGTAATGCCAACTTTAAGAGACTTAACAGGAAATATAATAACTACCATATGCATGTGCCTTATAGTCAGCCAAACTGCTGATATGATAAGACTACTGACTGTTTTTAAAAACCATATCAGTTTAATGATTACTGGTAAGTGGATTTAAGGCAAATAATATTTACATGTTTATAATAGAATATAATAAGAGAAGATATATTATCAAAATCTAATACACATTACAATACCATACAATTTGGCATTGTAGTAGTTACAGTAGAATTATTACTACAAATACCGAAAAAAAAATTATTATCTAATTACTATTTATAACTGGGAATAAGCCACAATTAAAGATAAAAATACGTTTATTGACGTTTCAATTTCCAATTCGGAAATCATTCTCAAAATACAAACACTGTTTGTATTTTGAGAACGATTTCCGAATTGGAAATTGAAACGTCAATAAACATATTTTTATCTTTAATTGTGGCTTATTCCCAGTTATAAATAGTAATTAATTTACAATGCCACAAGAAAATAGCTTCAGAACAAAATTATTATCTGTTGCCATAGTTCTTTAATATTTCCTCTTATGTTTGTAGTAAAGTGAAGTACTTTCTGTTATTATCAAATTGGATATACAGAAGTCAGTTAAGTAGAAAGGAAGAATAAGTTACAATAATTTTAATAACCCAGTCCAAATGTTTGTTCACTATTTTCTTTGATATAATCTACTACCTATTAAGTTTTCTTTTCTTTGTATACTAAGTGACATTGAAATCCGAATACCCATTATAAATTATTTTATTTTAATAAAATGTGGTATGTGGGGTTATCTTGGCAAAAACAATAAATGATTGGAATTTCAACCATATCAGCTTAAGTTTTTTGTCTTCTTTTTTCTAAATTTTCTAACCTCTAAAATTTTAACTTTTAAGTTTAGTACCAATCAAGGTTTAGCGGTAATGGAGTGAGACTATTTCTATACTACAATTTGCCAATGATATTTTTATATATTCACCATGCCAATATATTGAAGAAGGGTGCAAAAAATTAAATATAGCTTATAAAAACCTCAATAAATGGTGTAATGAAAATGGTCTAAAAATCTCCAGGAAAAAAAGCATACATGCAAGCCTGCATTATCACAAGAAAAAGAAAAGATAATTCTATAATGTACATCCATAAAATACCTAGGAATGTATCTGGATAAAAAATGACATGGAAAAATCACATAGATTATCTAATGAAGAAAACAGAAAAAGGAATTTACATCTTACAGTCAATATGTGGAACAAAATGGGATGATCCAAATGTAGCAATCTTTCTGTACAAATCCTACATTAGGTCAATACTGGATTATGGTTGTTTCTTCTATGACCAAGCTTCAAAAAGTTAACTAGAAAAAATAGATCACATAGTAAATAAGTGTGTTAGACTATACCTAGGTGCTTCAAAAAGTACACCAATTGATTTTTTATTTGCAGAAGTAGCTGAAACTCCAGTAAAATCTCGCCGAAAGATTTTAGCTTCCAATTTTATAGCTAAATTAAGTTCCAAAAATAGTGACTTAGTCCAAAAAATAAATATACATGCTATTAACATTGTATCATACCCATACAAGGAAAACAGTTTAACTATTACTGAGTCATACTTCCTTTCTTTCATCTTCCTTTAAATAGTATAAATATTTACAACATCTATCCAATTAACTGTGTTTTTCTCCAAATCTATTCAAAATTTTGCCCAAGGATCAAATACATATTTACGGAAGATTTAGAAAAAAATTTCCCAGATGTCGATATATATTCACACATGCATCAAAGAGCAACAAGAAAGTGTGTTGCGGTATATTTGATTCACACAATAGCCTTAAAAAATCTTTTAAATTAAATGAAAACTTATATGCTGCAGAATTAATCGCCATAGTAAAAGTGCTGTTATGAAAATAAAAATATCCACCAATAGTAATTATATTTTAACCAACATAATTACTAAACTTCATGAACATCAAACTCAAAAAATCAATGTATTATTAATTTGGATTAAAGAACATTGTAGAATAAAAGAAATTAAGAAGTGGACAAAGAAGCTAAAAAAAGAAGTATATAGCTGGAAAATATTTAAGTTATAAATGTCCTTATAATGAAATTGCTTGCCACATAAAGCCCATAATCCCACAACAGAATGGAGAGAAATGTTAGAAGCAGTCAAAAAGGAAAATACAAAAACGTAATTACCAAACCTCCTCGCCAATCTTGGTTCACAAGACTGTATCGAAGCAAGCAGTTTTTCTCTGTTTTGTGCAGATTAAGATTCAACCATGTTTTAACTCCTCAGTATAAAAATATAAAATAAAATTAAGTGATTCTCCTAATTGTTCATGCGGAAAAGAAGGTACAATGGAGCACATGATTAAGCTGTTCTAAAATAATTAATGAAGTAAAAGTATTAAATGAAAAAATAACCAAATACCAGAATCACGAAACCATGTAACCTAACCCAATTATTAAGATCAGAATATTATAACATTTATCAAATCGTGTACAAACATATTTTATGTATTACATTAAGTTTTTCTCCCTTTGTGTAAAGCCCTAAGTCTATTAGGACATGGTCCAGAAGATTATTGATTAACTAAATCAAAAGCAAGCATAGCCGCATCCACGAGTGTGTTGCCCACCGAGATGCATCAACACATTAATTCATAATCATATGAAAGTAATTCAATATAATCTATCATATTGAAATTTTGATCGTTTTTTATTTTGCCACCCTGTATAAATTGTACAAAATGTTTTCAAAATACAATAATTTATAATGGATATTCGGATTTCTATGTCACTTAATATATTAAGCAGATTATAAGTATTTTTGAAAAAACAGGATACAGGATATCCAAACAAAGTTTACAGAAAACCAACCCACATTAACAGCTATTTAAATTACCTCTCAAGTAACCTTAGACCCTATATCGGACATAGCTCATTGAAGAAAACATGTGGAATTATCTTGCACTCATGTAAATTGGGATATGAAAGATTGGAGAAACGTTATGTTTACAGATTCAGTTTTACAGAGTCTTTTTTACAAGATATTCACTTGTTGGTCGCCAAAGAGTATGCAGAAGGCCTAGAGAACGCTAGAGTTATAATGGTATGGGGTAGCATTTCCTTGGAAGCAGATACAGATCGTGTTATGTTGGGAATGTCTGAAAGAAAATGTGGTGCTTTATACACATTTTGTAGGTGACAATTTTTTCCTAATGCAGGATAATGTTGATCCTGTACATAGCCAAGGTAACAATGCAATATTTTACAGATGTTGGTATTCAGGTACTAGCCTGGCCTTCTAAAAGTCCAGACTTTAACCCCATACAGCATTTGTGGGACAAGTTGGGAATAGTAGTTAGGAAAAATTATGGCGTGTTGTTTTAAACTGTGATAATGCTAGAACAGGCGCTGATAAACGAGTTGGAATAAATACTGCAATATGAGATCGCTGCGTTGATCCAGTCTATGCCAAATAGGATGAGAGCTATTATTTGAGTTTGAGGAGAAATGCTCGATTTTAACATCCATTTTTGGAATTATTGGAATTTAAGTTTTTCTAATAGTTTTTAAGGTAATTACTGTTTAAATGGAAATAAGCCACAATTAAAGTTTAAAGTATGTTTATTGACGTTTCAATTTCTACTTTTTTTTGTTAGTCAATGAAAAAATGCTTCTAATAATTTAATTTTATCTGACTCATTTATATTGACACTTAAGACATACAATATATATTTTAAAGTAGACATACAGCATACACAAGGAATAACATGAGAAAAATAACAATACCATACAAAAAAGGATTATCAGAAAAACTTAAAAGGGTATGAAATAAATTCAACATTTCCACAGAATTCAAAACAACAAACACATTGAGATCTATTTTGTCTAAAACAAAACCTAACAATGAACAAGAAAGGTCAAAGAATTGCATTTATAAAATACCTTGTGAATGCGATCAGTTTTATTTAGGTGAAACATCAATCTTAAAAAATAGAGAATTTGATAAATCTCAAATATGTAAACACGCATGTAGTAGGATGTGGTTACCCATATTAAAAGAAGAAGTTATTAAAAGGAAAATACCAGTCTTAGTCTGTAACATATAGAGGATACATCATTTATGTTTTTTAACTAACAAACATATAGAATCAGAATTTGGTGTTTATTGAAAGTAAACTAAATGCACGACCAAATACTTACCATGTTGGGATGGTATTATGACGTTTTTCCTCATAATTTACTATGGAATCACTAACAGGAGAATTGTAAGGTCATCATGCTATGATTTTTTTCTGACGGATATTCTCAAGTTAAAGTTGATTTCATGTAATCAAATGAACTATCTTACAAGTAAAGTCGTCCCAGGAAGGCAACTCAACAATATTGACTATTGACAATACCATTTTAAAGTCTTATAGTTTAAAATATATAATGTACGTCTGAATTGTCAATATAAATGAGTCAAATAAAATTAAATGATTAGAAGAATTTTTCACCCAGTAACAAGAAAACAAAATTTGTTTAATTTACTAATGTTTGTATTTTGAGAACGATTTCTGAAGTGGAAATTGAAACGTCAATAAACATACTTTAGCCTTTAATTGTGGCTTATACCCATTTAAATAGTAATTACTTTTAAATGCCACAAGAAAATAGCTTCAGAACAATAATAGTTTTTAATTTTATGTAAAATAAACTAGTGTCTGGTTAATTTTTCGGTGTAGTGTAATTAAATAAATAAAAATAAAAATTTGTATGTTGTAACTATAAGTTTGGTGGTTTTTCAAGTAATATTTTTATAATATGTTACCTCATTTTTAATGTTTCAGAAACAATATGTTACTTAAGTATGCTGGGTGCGTTTTTCTGGCTAAATAGTTTAGCCTACTATATTTGGAAAACTTTCAAGTAAGCTTTCTTAAAAACAATTGTAATTTAGAGATATATAACTTGTATGTGTTTTAGATCAAGAAATGTGTTTTTACGTATTACTGATGGTAAAAAATACTGTTACTACTCTGGATATGCCTGGTCTTGTACACTTGTTTTAGGCGCACTTGCAATTTTTGCTCACTTTACCATGGATTATCCAGAAATGGGCTTACAACAGAAATCTACTAATGAGGAAGAAAGGGAACAAATAGGTAATTGCTAGTTAAATAATGATATCGTTATTAGTAACGTTTTTCAATTTTTAGGTTCACTTGGCACAATTATATTTTTTGTACCTGTTGCTTTTACAGTTTTAGCAGATGTGTTCTTCTTCGCTACTACTTTAAAAATAATAAACAGAATGCACACATATGGAAGAATTCATCACAAGCTGCGTCACACGTAAGTATTTATTAAAATGTTTCATATTTAATCCAATAAATCCAAAACATCACTGACGAGTCTCCAAAATATGACAAAACAGATAATAAGTATCCTAAAACATGGTAGACAACAGAAATAAAACAATATATAATTTATAACCAGTACTATATCCTGTAGTACATAATATTGTCAACATTTTAACAAACAGTTTTTTATAACTGGAGAGGCACTTTTTGTAATATCCTATTACAAAAATACCCTGATCAAAGAAAAGATGCATTTGCATGCTTCGTAAACTTCGAAAAGGCATTCGATAAAGTACAACACGTAAAATTATTGTAGATGCTAAAAAAATCTAGGAATAGATGACAAATATATTCGTGTAAATAAAAATCTGTACTGGAATAAAACTGCTATCGTAAAAATTGAAGATAACCATAACGAAATCTCCATACAACAAGTAGTCAGACAAGATATTTTGTCCCCATCATTGTTCGTGGTTTACTCGGAACCGTTTTTTAAAAGTGCTATATTTGGACAGACTTTGATATTGTCGAATCTCGGCACTTCGGTTTGTAAGACATGTTCTAATTCTTTTTTTTTTTTTTTTTTTTGTTCTGGAGTTTAAAGTAGGTTTAATAATGAATTTCGCTTTGTTTATGGTGTCAATGTGAGTATTTTCTGTGAAGTTATTAGTAACTCGTTCCTGTATTGCTGAATTCAAATCATCGGCTCGTGTTAGATATTCGGCGTTAGCGTCTGTACTGTCTTTGATATCGTTGGGGCGGTTTGTCGAGAAATCGATGTAGAATATGCTATTCCGTATGCCATCGATGCCTAATATTGCTTGTGAGGAAAGGTTTGGCATGTTGTAGCACTTAATTTGATGCTATTCTTCATTGATTGATTAGGCATGTGGTTTGATAGCTATGTCTGATCTCTTGAGTGGTACCGTCTGCAATATGTTATATTTTCTTCGGTAATACCATTTTTTGTCAGTGCTTGAACTGTTTCTACGTTTGTGAAGGTTAGTGTGCAATGCGGTCTGTTGCCGAAATTATTTATCCGGTTTCGGCAGGATGTGACAGAGGACCTTAATTTTAGTTTGGGTTCGAGATGCCTCTGGGAGTCTTCACCTTTCTGTCGTTTTCCAGATTGGGGCAACTGCAATATCTGTGTGAGATATTCAATGTTCCGCGTCTATTGCAGAAAAGTATCGTCCTTGAACGGCATGTTGTAACGGTTGTGGCCCGTTTTCACATTTCCAGCAGCATGTTCATCTATCATAGTATAATAGTAGTCTTGGCGTTTCCTGGTACCTTCTATTACAATTAAATCGGGAGTTGCTTCTTTGTGGAGTATTCTTCGGTCTGCCCCATTAGGTCTTTGATGGACGTGACTTTTTTTATGTATAGTTTGTAATTTAGGAGCATGTTTTTATAAATTCTTTTTAACCCTTGTGTTTTGCCCATTTTGCCATATCTTCTAATTAGAGTTTAAAGGTTTAATATCTGATCTTCCAAATCGTCTAGCCGATTTGCTGATTGAAATCCGAGAATTAAATCCTCCGTGAAATCGTTCCACTTTGTCGAGAAGTCAACGTTGTTTCGAAATCATATCCCTTTTCTCCTAAATACTTCTGGCAGCGCTTTTAGTAATGCTCCGTCTTGTATCCGGTAACAGTTTCTGAGCTTGTGTAGTCTCTCCCAAAAATTATGTGAGGTCTTTGGACCCGTCAAAATGTAAGCCCCATTTTCTAACTGTTTGACTGTGCTCATTTTCCATTTGTGTATCGTACGTCTTTGGAACTTCTGGTCCGGCCTTTGTAAGTCGGTTTTTTAGCGCAAGTAGAGGGCCATTTTTGATCAAAGATCGTCTGTTTTATCTGTCGTGTTTAAGTTCAATTTTACCATAACATTAAGCAATTCGTCTTTTTTTTTAATTAATCCAGCTTACCTTTCCTTCTGATTGGGACATATTTTGTACATTGGTTTGTTTCCGTTTAAATGTCTGAGATCCTTTTAAAATAACTGCTTGGGTGCTACTGTGATTACCTCGAGTACAGTGTTCAGTCGGAGACAGAATTCGTTTTTCTTAATCAAGACATTTATTTTGGTCTAAACAAACAAAATATGAAAATTATTTCGTTATTTCAAATGTATGTAAATTCCACACGTACATATTTGGCTTTCGTAGGCCTTAGAAGGTTAGTGTGATGATATTTGATCCATGAATAATAAATCAACGATTGGAGAAATTAATCGGAAGTCACATTCATTTTTCAGCGCAAAATGAATGTCTACGAAATGACGTGTCTGATTCAACATATCGGACGGTAAAGACACTCGATGACTACATTCAACACATGTGGTCGCTGAGTCAGTATCGATTTCGTTCAACTCACCAAATCGACGCCATGGAGCACACCTGTTCCAGTAGGTAGGTATTCTTAGTTTAACACACCAAGTCTGCCTATAATGGATTTCTGGTCTTTTATACAGATGGAGTAAAAACATAAGAGTATTATCGTCACAAATTAATTTTTTTTTCAATCGATTCTTGGAAAGGTTAGACGCAGCTGTGAAGAAACCTAAGGAAAAAAGAAATAATTCGAAACTATTTGGGTAATTGTAGATGCAGCTGTAAAAAAATTAAAGAAGGAATAATTCTGAACTATATTCAATTTTAAAGTTGTTTAGAAATAATTCAAAAATTTTTTATGCAGTCTTGTGCGGTAATTATTTTTTGACTCTTCATTTTTTTTTTAGTTTTCGCATGTTCGTTTTGCTGATGCTGGTGATGACACTAAAATGGCTGTTCTTTTTGGCTTCATTTACGAAGTATGAAGCTCTCATCAATGCACATATATTTTTTAATACGTTCGAAGGTCCTCTGATACTGTACGTGTGTATTTTTAATCAGAAACATATCGCGTATTTATTGCAAAAAACGTGTTGCTATACAACGTTTCCTTGTTGTAAGCCAGATCCGGAAGTAGAATGGGGAGATGAAATGACAGCAATGAATACTTTGAATAATTATTAGTATTTATTAATTTGTGTAATTTATTTCTGTGTTGAATTGTTTTACTAATTCTGCTAAACATCAATTACAATAACAGTGAAAGCCAAATAAAGTTGCGTTTACGTCATCATTGTGAACATTTGCAGCGTTGTCAGATGGTTTATGAAGTATGAAAATTAACAGAAAAGAACTTAAATAAACAAAAAAGGTGAAATAGATTTCACAAAGTAAGTAATTTCACAATAAAAGTGGTAAAGTTATTACTGAGTTACCAAACAATAAGTTACTCGTTTATTAGTGCAACGCTTTTTCTTTGGTGACTCGAACTGTTCACCTTTTTTCTGCATTTGACATATGCATATATATGCTGTTTACTGCTCTTACGCTGATTTTTAAAGCAGCAGCTACATGCTAAAATCATTAAATTTTTGTAAAGTAAAGTAATGATATTTTATTCGCATATTACCTCTTGTACAGCGTTTAAGGGTAACAAAGAGCCATTATTAATCTTTCTTCTTCAAAATAGTTAACTAATGGAGCCACAAGTTCTTTGCATCGACTATTGAGCTGTTTGGGCATCTTGACAAGTAAATAAATGTTTTTCACAAGATAACCTCAAAAATCGACGATACCACGAGTACAAAAGTCACAGACCACTGAATGAAAATTCAACAAACGACGCGGCAACATGACAATATTTCTGATAGTGACTAATTCTCCGTCAATAATTGGTGGTTTCTTCATGAACATTTCAACACAAAATTTTACAATGACGGACGTCTAAATCCAAAAAAGCTATATATACATAGCTGTATATACATTATTTTGTTACAAAAGATTTTTTATTGATCGGGTTATTTTTAAATGTGATTGTTTAGCAAACTAAAGTAACATACACTTTTCTATAGAAATGTAGCCACACATACAATAGAATTCCGACATTGGTGACGTGCACGCAACTTTATTTGGCTTTTAGTGTATAAACTTAGTACCTACATCAAACTCATAGTTATATGAAGTTTTAACAGAAAACGCAATTTTTCAAATACGTTTCGTCAATTGCTAACGTTTAGGTTTTTATTAAAGATACTGAAGTACTTTTACTAAAGACACTCAATTCAGCGCAATTTCCCAAAGTAATCTATATACGTAAAAAATGCCAAAATACGTTTTATTTTATTTATTTTCATTTTTACAGTATCATCCTAAACAATACAGTCTTATTGTTTATGTAATCTTGAGAACATAAATCTCAACGTCTCATCAATAACGTACAATATAAATTAGTAATATAATCTTCTGTATTTTTAGTGGCATATATATTATTCATGTATATTACTTAAATACGATATGGTGTCAGTGAAGTAATCAGTCATTTTTAGTAAATCAAACTAACTTTAAAATAAAATGTGCCTTAAGCCTTATATATAAATGGTTTTTCTCTCTGACATAGTCCTATCCTTTGGCGTGGAAAAGGTGACGGCTTTTACTATAATGTAATTTTTTTATTTGAGACCAATATTATGTCTAACGAAAACCTTTTTTATTATTTACATACGATATTTATACAGTTTTATCACGCTGTAACGTGTATTGCTTTACTGCAAATGAACATAGACATGCCAGACGAAAATTTAAGTACTTTATTCTATTATACATTGCTCAATAAATTTGAAAAATTGTACTTAGAATTTTTTATTAATTGAATGAAGCAGATATGTAATGAAATCTTAAGCCATTAGGATTAGTAACGGTCAGATGCCTCTTAAATAAGGAGAACATTCGTGATGACTGCCTACAGCTACATTTTCTTAGTTTGTTGCTGTATTATATTTAGTTTCATTATAAACATGCATTAACTGGAATAGGTAGGAATCATACATATTTTATTGACCTGCTCTCCAGTAGGACGGGATAGAAGAGCAAGTTACGTATGTAGTAGTTAATGATTTAAGTAAAATAGTACAACTATACTTATATTGGCTAAAAAGCTATAATTAACACTCTATATTGATACACCTATGATAAAAAAAGTTAAGAAAAACTAACAATAACCTTACAATAGTCTAATACAGATAAATGAGGGTAACACAAAGGCGAATGGAGAGATCAATGCTGGGCCTGACCTTGAAAGATCGCGTAAGAAATGAGGAGATACGCCGACGAACTGGCGTAGACGATATTATACTGCGAATCAATAAACAAAAGTGAAGGTGGGCTGGACATGTGCTAGAATGGAAGACGGAAGATGGACGAAGAGATTATTGGAGTGGAGACCAAGAGCCGACAAGCGAAGTCGAGGCAGACCACCCACCCGATGGACCGACGACCTAAGGAGGATAGAAACAAACTGGATTGCAGCAGCTAGAGATAGAGAGAATTGGAGACGTTTGGAGGAAGCTATGTCCAGCAGTGGATGTGACAATTCGGCTGGATGATGATGATGAATACAGATAAATACTTAACCTTGACTGCATTTACCGAAATGTATTCATTATATTACCTCGTATACGTAGCCAATGTGTAAGTTACGATCCTATTATGTTTGATTCTAGAATCGATCTAGTATTGATCCTAGAATTAGTATTCAACAGCATTCTTGCGAACTATTGACTATGGGTTAGCCAAAAATGCGACGCCCCTGGGCATCCTGGCAATACATGCAGTAAAAGGTGGTGTATAAAAAAATTGGCCTTGAATTCTATCAAATGTTCTTAGGATTGCACACACAAAAATCTGACCTATCCTGGTGTTAAAACAATTGTTTAACTTAACCGATTATTTGAAAAATTAAAGTATATTAAATTTAAAAATAAAAAAAAACATTGTGTGATGAAATTTTCCGTTAACAAGGGAAAATTATCCCAATTCCAGTCAAATTTATTACTGATACGTTATCGTCTCTAGCTATCTCACAAAATAAGCCTAGTATTAATCCATAGTTGGACTTAAATTGTACTGGAATGCAACGGTGTATTTTTCCGTACTCGTTGACATTCAAGTATTAAGCATATAATTTCTTTTGATCTTAATAAGCGTTCTTGTAAACTCTTAACATTACATATTAAGCTTCATCCATTTAATACGTTTATATCAGTATTTGTCTTTCTAGGTATTTACAGGGTAATATATTGTGTTAATTTAAGTTAATTAAGTAAAACTATTTCACTGTTACTATTAACTTTATATGCATCATAGTTATTTTCACCATACTTTAAAATAAAAGTAGGTTGTAGAAGAATGTTACGAATTATAAATAAGACTTTTTATAGATCTGTATAAATTGCCCATTATGAGGTTTTTTGGATATATGTTAATACAATTTGTATAAATCATGTGTCAAATAGAGGTGTGAGAATTATAAAATTTTGTGTGTCAATAAGTTAATATTTACTCTTTATGCGTCTTATTCTTCTGAATGTGCCATGCCCAATTTTGTGCATATACAGCTCGTCTGCATATACATGTGTTATGTATCATTAAATGTACACATATATACCAGACCTACAGTTTAACGTATATTCCGAGTGACTAAATGTGGAAGAGATGTACTGGTCAGATTAAGACTTCATGAGTTGTCCGGGCCTTTGAATACATTTTGATTTTCCAGTGAAAATCGAACCCACATTATTTGGTACCAAATGCGGATACACTCAACTCTTAGGTACGCTGAGACACCGTTTATGAGTCTTGACCTGCTCTACATGTTCCTTCATTCTCTTATGCGCTTTGTTTTTCCAGTTGGTTATATTCAAAATCCTTAGGTCTTGTTCCATTGATCTGAATCTACCCTTTGCTCTTCGCCTAGTGCTTTAGTTAGTTTCTTCGATATTCGTTTTCCTGCTTTTGTTGTTCAAGACCCACCTCCTTGAAATCGTCCAGTTTTTATAAATGCAACGATAGTTAGCTCCAGATAGAGAATGCTGCACTAATTGAAATATTTTCTTAACCTTCAGTTAAGACGGTTTATTTTACTATAAATGTGGTATATGTCCAATTATTATACTTCAGCT